AAAAAATATTTCAATCCATTTAATAGGTTTTTTCATTTGTCCATTAGGTGGGGGCACCTCTCTCTTTTTTTTTTCCTCTAAGTAATTTCTTATTAATTTCAACAGTTTTTGTATCACATTCTCTAAGTTTTTTTCATGATTAAAAAATTTGTATTGTGAACTTTTCTGTACAGTCAATTGTTTCTATAATTTTGATACGTTATCTAGACTTGTCCCTAATAAGGCACTTGAAAGGAAATTTTTTGTACAAGCTTTGTTTTTGTAAAATTTGTATTTTGTTATATTGTTATATCTGTGCAATACAGGTTTGAACCTTTCAAATTTCATGAGATAGTTTTGAGTCTTTGTTACTGTTTGCACCTTTTTTTAATATTCAGGATAAGAAAGGCAATGTTCTCTCTTCTCCAAGGGAAATAGTTTTTTTATATTTTGCACAAAAATTTAGTTATAGTAAATTAAATTTTTTCATACATTATCTGAATTTAAAACTTTTTTCTTATTAATTATTCTCTGCATTTTCTTGCAGCAACTAAAACGAACTTTCACATTGTTTCCGTTAAAGTATTTAACAGAAACAATGTGAAAATTTGTTTTTAAAAGTTATTTTTGACTATTAATCTTAACAAGATTCTCCACACTATAATAAAACCTTGCCATTTAATTAAATGGAAGTTTGAACCATATTTTGAGTTGTATTCTGCTTACTATTATTGCTTTGTCCCTTAATAATATTAATTTTGTCTGATGGTATTCTATCTTTGCCTTATCAAAAATTAAAGAATGAGATATGGAAAAAATTTCTGGTACTTTTATTTCAGTGCTGTTTGATTTTTATTGGTTAAGCATACTACACAGGCATTTGACGAGTCAACTAGTCAAATGAAAATTAAACACAAAAATAAAAATATAATGGTGAATAATAAGTTATTTTCTGGTGTTCTTTTGTTTTTAACTAAAGTGTCAATAAACAGCAAAATTTTGCATTTTAACTTTTATCCATGCAGGGTTTGAAAAAAAATAAATTAACCTGAAAACTTGAGTCTTATTCTTAAACAGCCTCATTAGATTTCAACACTCAAATGAATGTCATGCATGGTGTCCAACTCGTTCAGAAATGTTTAAACTATCATCTATATACAATCATTTTCTCAGATGAATGACTAAAAATTGCTTCAAGCAAATGAATCTTTATCAGATTGGCAATACATAATAAGGAGGCATGGTGGAGTAATGGATAGCAGCTTGGATTGAGTTTGAATTCCAGTTGAATCCATTACATTCACTTACGTGCTAATACCCTTGGGAAAGGTATGAATCCTCTTCTTCCCCCACTATGGGTAAGTAGCAGGACAGACCAGGTTCTATAGCCTTGGATGGCAACTGGTCTACCACAGAAAGAAATGGCAACCTACTGTGGGGAAAAAAATCTGCCTCGTCAGTCATGTATCGAAAGATACATGATTGCCTAAGCGTGTATCACGATGACATAACTGACTGACTGAATACATAATCACAAAAATATTATCAAAAAGAAAAAAAAAAAAAAGATTCACATCGTTTAAAGACTTCCAGCAGCAACAATGACAAAACTGTGTAGTACATGTAACTAGAAGTTAAATTAATGATATCATCAAGAAATTAACTTTCCACACTACCTTAAACTCCTATCAATACTAGAAAGAGCAATAACAGGAGAATTGAGAATGTCTAATTCTAACATTACCAATATACAGTAAATATAATGTTCTAATAATTTTTAGCATCAAGTTGTTGGACTGCCAACTAGAGAATTTCCTTGATTAAGACTCCAATAAAAATTTGTTTTTAAGATATCTATCTGTAATTGCAGATAGTGACAAACTTTGATATCATGAATAATTCCAAAAACTTGTTTGCTACAGACAGCACTAAATAACTAATGGTCAATAAAAAAGGAAAATCCTGAATTCATATCCCTACTCTCTTGTCAGTATATTTACTTGAAGGGAGGTCTAAAGAGTAAACACTACACAAATCTAGAGTTGGGCCCCTAAGGCAAAGTTAAATAGTGTACTGTGTCAGCTTCCAACAATTCCTGCAACTGTGCTGGTACTAAACTATATTAGTTTACTTTTTCCTTTGTACTCTCATATGAACAACCCAAGCCCGTAACATTCTATGCTACATTATCATCTCCAGAGTTGGATGAATACCAACTCAATGCAATGGTCAATAAAAAATATTTCCTATCATATACATAAAATTATCAACTGCACTGGATAAGTGTTGTGGTAAAAGCCAGTCCATTCATGATAAGTAGTTTTGGGTAATTGTCTAGGGAAGAAGATAATACTATGCAGTGACTTGTCTAGCTGGGTACTGAATACTACAATCACAACTGACTGTCAAGTTAAACATTGTATCTTGCCAGACCCCAACAATAAGTATAAAAAAATAAAAATTATATAGAGAAACTTCAATTAAGTCAACATAAAAGATTATAAAGACAATATAAAATACATGTGTATCTGCATTGCTTTTCAGATAGATATTTACTCACAACGTATAAGTGGGAAGTTTTGTATACACAGTTTGTTAAGGGGGGAAAAAAATCAAAAGAATTGTTTCTTCTAGTCAGTAATTTTATGTTATTACTAAATATCAGAGCTGCTTCTCTTTTGATCTTTCCTCTTCTTTGGTCAGCCCCCACCCCCAATCTTGGTAAAGCAAAAGATGGGGAGAGTATAGAAAAAGGAAACAGTGTAAGTAGTACTATCCTATTATTGTTATCTATATTGACAAATACACTGATTTTAATTAATCATCTAATTATGATTTTCAATATGTCATCATCAAACTTTCTCAAATAATTTTAGCTTTTCAAATACTACTTTATATATATATATATATATATATATATATAGATAGATAGATAACTATTTAAAAAAAACAAAGCGATAAAGATACTTGAATGAATCAATTTCTACAAGTCTATCATGAATATTTAATGTACTATATTTTTTTATTTCATTTAAGTTAACAAATTATATGATTAGTTTGAATCATTTTTTTGAGAAATACAAAACACAAACAAAAGAATTTGTTAAAAACAATATCCTTTTGTTTAATTTTTTTAATGAGTTGGATATCAAATATTTTTGACATTTATTTCCTAATTATAATTACCTTTAATATTTGCAGCTATCATGTGCACATACAGACAACTAAGATAATTTACATATAAAATGTGAGAGGCAATTGAAAGAAAGAATAAGTGTCAAATGATAAATTAAAATCAGGCAACAAATTATTTACAATAATAAAATGAATATTCTGTTGCAAGTTTTAAAAAGAAAATCAGTAGATAATAAAACTTACAAATGCTTGGTACTCTTAATTATTTAATTTTATCAAAAACAAAAATCATTGCATCTGCAGGTGTGAATTCTTGAAGGAACTGACTTCTCCTTGTTCTAAGTTGAAGCTTCATCTTTTAGAAATAATAATTGAGCAAATGTGCTTGTGTATGAGATTATATATATATATATATATATATATATATATATATGTGTGTGTGTGTGTATAATATAGCATAGTGTGCTGCTGTTAATAAAATAGTGCTCGATGCAATATAGCAAAGCTATAAATTATGTATTAATAAATATGCATTTTTTTTTCCTCACCAGTAACACGACACAGTTTCAAGCACAATTGTGTCTCAATTCAGCACCTGAAGATTGCATTGTACATGAAACTCCATGTTACTGGTGAAGAAAAAAAAAAAAAAAATATATATATATATATATATATATATATATATATATATATATATATATATATATATATTTAGATTAATACAAATAAAATCAGTCACTTTGCTGACTGATGTTATATTCAGCAGCTCAAATCTAGAGTTTTGTAGATTAACTTTTTTGTAATTGTTCAGTCCATTCTTCAAGTTTTAGGAATTGGCTGATGTGTTTTTCTCATTTTTCACCATCTTTATACTAAGTATTTCTTATTACCATAAAAATTATTTTTAATGTGTGTACACATGTTTGGGTTGCTATCTCTGTTTTTTGTTTTGTTTTTTTTTGTTGTTTTTTTTTTAATTATTTTCTTAAACAGTAAAATTAATAGCAACCAGCCTAGATTTGAGAAGTACTGCCAAGGAAAAGTTTAGAGAGAGAGAGAGAGCATCATCTTATCTGAAGAACTTCAATTAAATGAAAGGATAATTGATTAACCTGTGTTTTAGAAACAGAATATCTCTTATGTATTATTATAAATTTTAGAGATTAAGTACAAGTTTGCTTTTTATTATATAAAAGGCATAGATGGAGAATTAAAGAAAGACCACATGAAGGATCAATCAGCAATTCAGTCTTCTTTATGAGTTTGGCTTCATGATTACTGGAACAATTTTCAATACTACCAAGACAAAAATTATTTTTCTGTAATTCATTGAGGTTATTTCACAAGGAAAATTATTTATATTGAGGTGTTTTGATCTGAGATTCCGAGAGTTGCTTCAACTGTTGATTTCTTTCATTTTGTTGTTACCATAACATTTTGGCCAGTCTATTCTTTAACCATCACAAGCTATACATTCCATATAGGAGGAGGAGGAGCATGCCACCCCACCCAGGTAATGTCCATAAATTTTTAAAAAATCCTATTGAAAAATGTAAAAACAAAGAATGAGAGCCAAACTTTAACTGTCTCTTGGAACGATAATAGCTTATCTCAAAATTACAGCATGTATCTTTATAGAGAGGTGTTTTAGGGTAAGCGATATTATGGTCCATTAAAGGATTTATGAAAACTATTTTTGAAGACGATCCCCAAAAGATATAAAATAATCACCTATTTGAATAATGATGCAGTTCATCATTTAGGTTTAGGCAAGCCTTTGTGTTTCCAACATAGTAAAGATCAATACCAAAGAAATTGATATGTGACAATAAAATAATAATTGCAATGTGATTAGGGTGGTGCATGTATTGTATTAAAAAGGATACGCTGAAAGAACTGCATTTTTGCATAGAAAAAATGCAGGGACATTATATTTTTCAAACATTACTTCAGTCAGCTTTTCTCGCTTGGCTTTTGTGTTCCACTGAAAAAGAAAGAAAAAAGTTTAATGAATTTTTGGAAATTATATAAAAAATTATTTGATATTTAAAAGGAAAACTGTTTATTTTATACCATCATACTAAACTTTACCTTGTTTCATATTATAATTTTTTAATGTACAAAAGAAATAAATTAAAAGATTTTCAAAACAGCCAAAACAATGAAGATTCAAACAACAAATATTAACAACTCAAATTATGAGTATTGACCATAAAATAAATTCATTCATGGGACTGATTATTAATGAGAATGTAGAATTAATGAAATTAATATCATAAAACATTAAGTACAGAATTGCTAGAAACTGTTTTCTAGATAAATAAAATATTTTCACTTAAGGCTATAAATTAACAGAGTTAAACTATTTAAAAAAATTATTCTCAAAATAAATAATAAAGTATTTATTATTAAATGTTTGTGCATGTGTGGTTATTGATGCAGAAAGTGAGATTGGCACATCAAGTTCAAATTGTAGTCAAGACATTTGTTTTTGTGCAATAGCTCTTGAGAAAGACCTGAATCCATCTGTTCTCCCAACTATGGATAAAATAGCAGGGCACACTAAGCTCTCTAGTTTGAGCTGGTACCCAGTCTAAGAGGACGACGACTATGATGATTGGTTGAATATGGGGCTGGCAACTTCATCCTGTAAAAGTCTACTTGCTCTGGAAACCACCAGCAGCAAACCCTTACACGGTAGTTTACAGGGTTAACAACAACAACATCTATTAAAAACTATAGACAGAGAATAATTTTTATTTTAACCTTTTGTTTGTATAATATACACAGATATCCATTGTTTGTTTTTTTGTTTCTAAATTTTAAAGTCTTTGATCTCAATAATGCTTCTTAAGGTGCCTGAAAGTATGATATCCAAAACACTTAGACGATACCTACACACACACAACCCACACCAACATTCTCTTGTAGAGAAACAAAAAAGGTTAATTCAAAAATGAAAAAAAGAAAAAGTTCATATCTACTGTCTTTAACAAAGTATGTACAAACAAATGATTATTGCCTAAATACATGTCTGCAGAACTGGCGCTAAAACCTACCAGAAACTTTGATACTGGGGAGCCCCCTCTCTACTACATGTCAATTTCAGAGTTTCCTAATATGGGGGCCACAAACTCTCAAAGGAGGGAGGGACAAGCACTATTTTTTTTTTTTTTACCAAAATTCAGGGAATTATACAATTTAAATGAAAATTTCAGTATATATCCATTAATTATTTACTTTTATAATGAATAGGTTTTTTATTTTAAAAGAAATCTGAAAATAAGGTTATTCTTTTTGTAATAACCACCAATAATTTCATGACTAAATTAAAATAAAAAAAACATGTTTTAAGTTGCAAATTTTTACATTTCCATATAGATTTATCAACAATGCATCTCCACTGAAAAAAACTTTTTTTTTTTTTACAAAGATTCCAACACAACACAAACTGGATTGTTTTAAAAATTTGTTTTAAAAACGATATTTCAGTGTTGGGGAAAATTTTTCATATGTTGAAATCTTTATACATTTTTATTTTTTAAGCAATCATTTTCTTGATTTTATCTTTCTAGTAAAATATAGTGACTAGAAACTTTATTTTAATTACTAGCCATGGACTTCTGATTAGTATTACTATTAGTAAAAAAAAAAAAAAAAAAAATCAGATAAAATTGATTTAAAAGAACTGTTCAGAAAGAAAATTACAATTTAAAAAAAATAAGTGCTTCTGAAATTAGCACTTCTGCCCTACCAACCCAGTAGGCACAAGCCAACCCCCCCACCAAACCCATGCACTATTGAGAGTTTCAAGGTAGTACACACCAGCCCTGTCAATTATTATAGTATTATAATATAACTTAGGTAGAAAAAAGTAAAAAGTACAAAAAGAAATAATGCTGCTGAAACTAGCCATTCTGGGGCTTCAACCTCATCGGGTGTTTCTGCATAGAATGCACCAGCCAATGCAGATACACGATGTATATTATTAGTTGATGACTGACAATGTAACATCAGTTTAAAAATAATTTAAAAAAAATGGTGGATGGCCATAAAACAGGACTGAAAAAAATAGCAGAGGCCACAATGCAACCCCCTCCCCGCGTTTGGGAGTTTCAAGGGGTAAGAATAATAACTGGCTACATCATTGATTTAAAAAAAAAAAAAAAAAAAAAAAAAAAAGAAAAAAACAATGTAGGTATAAGTTTAAGTTAGGTAATTAAATGACAAATTGGAAAAATTCATGTAACACGTTTCATCTAAAGGAAGAAAGATTACAGATTTTTTTCTTTGTTATTCAATTAATTACTTGACATTGTTTTGATATATAGAAATTTATATATAATATTCTCCCATAAGTTTAACGTTAATAAAGTTGCAACTTAACTATTTCAATTTCCTTAATAATAAATTTTAGTGTTAATATTACAATATCTAGATTGTGTGCTTAAAGTCAATGATATAGCTAGTTATATTAAATGTCACTGATTACGAAAAGCCCTTCCATTATTTTGACTGTCTTTCCATATAAATTACTTGTAACAAATATTCAATTAAAAATCTCTTAAGAGATTATTGACTGTTTCTGGTAAAAAGCAAACAGCTATTAATTAAATTCTACAGATATAGAAGCACTTTTACTACAACCTTTATAATTAAAAATGATTGAAGTTTAGAATCTAGACAATGTTAAGTGATTGTAGAAAAATATTATGACTGATCATGGTTTTAAAAATGAATAACTACATCTAAAGCCTATATAATCAAAGCATTTCCTCTATCTTTGTTGAACTTGTACAAATGGGTTGTCTGATAAGTACCTAATACATAACAACACCTAGCACAAGCAAATAACTTAGAAATTAAAATTGTCCCTTTTGTTATCTTTTACAAACTTTCAATGTCATGTGGCTTTGTATGAAAAGAGATGTTGGATATCATCAGAAATATTTCATTAGAGAATTGGCAGGAGTTTAATTCTATTAACAACAGTTTGTTTGGAAATTGGCCAAAATCATTAAAATAATACCAAACAGGTTGTAAGTAAAACAGTGCTACTTCACTGCCATACAAACATTTTATGGTACTTTTCAAAATGAGATGGAGATTCATTCAAAACAGTTTTTTCCCTTGACATACTATTGAGAATATTTTTTTTTTAAATATTTTTTTGTAATTGTGTCATTTAATATTATTTAATATTAAATGACACAATTACAAAAAAATAAAAGTCAAAATAAAAACTAACATTAATTTAATTTTTTTTTTTTATTGTCTCTTTATCCAACCTGAACTTACTCAAGGGTATCATTTGGATCTCATATCAGTTCAGCCCTTCCCAAGAGTCTTGAGAAATGTCAAAATCTGTCTATATCTCCGAGATGAGGTATTATGATTATTTACATTATTGTAAACTCCAGCCTTCTTCAGGTGATTGGAATTTTAAACCGAACCCTTTATTTCAGCCACCAAGGTAGATTTTTCTAGTTCCACGTGCTATGCCTCATCTAGATGTCTCAGTTATTTCCCTTTAACTCAACTCTCCAAGTTTTTTGGTTCACTACTGCTGTAGCTTGATATTGAACTCACAACTCTTTGGATCTAGTTACTGGATCTAACCAACACCTTTATCCAGTGGGCCATGTGTCCAATCACCTGAAAATGGCTGGAGCATATAATTGAAGAAACATTGTGAATATGACAATAAAAATGAGGATAACAGTCCAAATAATGTAAATAGAAATGTCAAAATAGGTCAAGGATTTCTTCATATTAACCTTACATCTTTGAACAACTTTTCCAAGTGATAGCCATTCTTCTATTCCCATAGAGAATTTACCTTAACATTCTTGCATCAACACATTTTATGCTTTAAGGCTAAAAAAAATTCTTGCAAGACTTTTTAATGGTGACTAACTTATTCTTGCTACTACATGCCTATTTACATATTAAAAAAGTTAACTGGGCACCAGGAGACTGACTGCTTTCTAAATATGTTATTTCTTTAATTTTTGTCTTTTTATTTGTATATCAATAAATATATACAATTAAATGCCATTTTAGGTCTTATAGATATAGATGCACATCTGTCTGGTTGTGATTTCTTATTCAGTTAAACCAAATTGTTTATTCTGACAATCCTAATTTTGAAAATTCATTTGTTTCAGGTGAAGTCAGTAATTTTAATTTGATTTTGCTAACATTAAAGGAGTATTATCTTCATATTATATATTCACACTAAATTCATTGGCCTTCTAGGCAAACTGTAAAATTATTTAGGTTAAATCACATTATGAGATTCATCACCAAATGGAAATAGATTAGGCTGATTCTTAATCCATAAGTTAAAAAAATGTTGATGACACACTGACATGAATTACTATTTAAATTGTTGTCCTCATCTTCAGTGCTACATTCACGTTTTGGCCATTGTGCGCTCTTGTCATCTTCAGGTGATTATTCTAGTTCCACATGCCATGCTTCTTCTGGATGTCTCAGTATTAGTTATCTCCCTTTAACTCAACTCTCCAAGTTTTTGTTCAGCTCTGATGTAGCCAGGTATTGTGTCAAGTCACTGGATTCAACCAATGCTTCTATCGACTGGTCCATGTGTCCTTATGGATTACTGGGTTGTCAATAACTATTCCAATAAATTCAAGAATAATTTGAATACTCCAAATGTCAAAATTAGTAAAAATGAAGATAAATTCATGTCCAAATATCTACAGGTTAAAAAAAAAAAAAAAAAAAAAAAGAGTATATAAGTTTTCATTTCCATGTTCACTTGATGAGGATTCAAGTCTATACTGAAAGCTAAAAAGCATGTGGAACATGAAAAAAAAAATTTATATTTGATAAGGAAGTAAAGAAGTGAATCAGATCCTTTCAGAACAACTGTCATTATCATTGAGAAAAAAAAAACTTTTGAAACTCATGAAAAACCTTATGAACATTATTTTAAATCATTTCACTCCAAGTAAGACA